ACTTGGTAGCCCAGGCTGGCTTTGAACTTGCAACAAACCTCCTGCCTCAGCCTCCCCAGTGCTGGGATTACAGGTGTGCACCACCACGTGTGGCATTTTGTTTTAAACTCTTATTCTGCACTTAAGAGTGCAAGCTTTGAGTCAGGAAGACCTAGCTTAAGAACCTACTTGTCTACCCAAACGCATACTTTGTACAACATTGGAAACTACCTTAATGTAAAATGCAGGCGTAGGGAGATAGGACGTATTAGTGTAGATTCATCATTTATAGCAAAAGTACCACTCTGGTGCAGAGTAATGAGTATGAGGGAGCAAGGGGTATGTAGGAAATCTCTGCACCTTCCTCTCAATTTTGTTCTGAACCTAAAACTGCTCTTTTAAAAATTAAACTCTTTAAAAACAAAGAAAATGCTTCATTACCTTGAGGGATGTTACGTACGTGTTCCAAGTTTCAGTTTCCTCCTTTATAAAATCAGGGTTATAAGACCTCCATTACTGTTGAACATTGAGGTGATGTGTGGCATGATTGAAAAATAGTGAGTTAAATTTTCAAAATTTATTACAATAAAAGACACATTGCTGCTCATCCCCCTCAAGATATCCCACCTGCTCCTCACTTTGAACACAGCCCGTCGTTCCTGGAACTTGCTGAAGCAGTTCTGAAGTCCTCTGTCCTGTCTTTAGCTGTACTGCCATGCCTGCCTTGTTGCTCTGAATTAATTCAAAATATTTACTTTTCGTTGTAATTTTGACTTTGGGGAACAGACGTAAGTCACATGGTTCCAGGTCTAGTGAATAAGGTGGATGAGGACACTGTAATTTTTTATGAACCTGCCTTTCTGTCGGACGGCACTCAGCAGTGGCATTCACTGTATTTTTGATACAACCTCGTAAAGACCCAAAGGAGGACTTCTAGAACTGCTTCAGAAAGTGGTAAGAACAATAGGATCAGTGTTCAAAGCAAGAGTAATATTTGAGAGGGATTAATAGCAATGTGTCTTTTCCTGTAATAATTTTTTTCATTTAAATATTTATCATATATTTTGCTCATGCCTTACGTGAAGTGCTTAGGGATATGCTTGGCATATAGAGAGCTCCCAGCAAAAATGGTTAAAACTGTGGGCAGGGTCACAATCCGGGAGTCTCACTGCCTCACAATATCTGTGTGATTTTGTACAGTAAAATCCCTTCTTCCTCCGAGACCTCGAAAGTATAATAAAACTCAGGGTTGTTTTAAGACAGTCTGTGAAGTACTGTGGTTAATACTCCCCTGCCTAACAGTCGTGACCTCTTACAAACAGTAGCTGGTAACTTTGAGGCTTTCTTATGTCATCTCTGGGATTCTGTCTTAAAACAGGTGAATTTTACACAATAAAGTTTATTCTCTTGGAGGGATGTATCTAATTTCTCCAATCTCCCAGATATTTATTCTATTTCAATTTATGATGAAATTGTGTGAAGCACTTTTCTGACTTTTTCATTTTTTCTCTTCTGTCCAAGAACATGTTTTTCTGGCTATTAGAAGCCCATGGGACAGAAAGTAAATAGAAAATTACCGAGGTGTCAGTTACTGTGTGGGCATTTATAGGACGTGAACACCTGAAAGAGGAGTTTGAGAAAAATTTGTGTGTGTGTGAGGGGAACACACCATCTCTGGAATATGCAATATACTCTTTCTAGTGCATCAAAACAGTTGTGTTTAATTTTTCTTTCCCTGCACAGGAAGCTTTGTGATGCTGAGGAAACACAGTTTAAATTAGCCACATTCTCAGAAGTGGGTGTTTGTGCTGAAAAGCTTCTTTGAAAGACTGGATTCTCATACTGGAAGAGTTCTGGGCTGCTGATGACCAGCTTAGGTCACATGCCTTCCTTTGAGTGAGTCATAGCCGGACAGGATGCTGGGACTCCAAGCAGAGTGATGTGGCCCGCAGGAAGGGCCGCGTGTGTGGAAGCCGGGGTAGAATGGGAAAGGAAGCTGGGCAGCTGACGCACATGCCCATGATTATCTGGAGCTCTTGGGCTTAACTTGCACTTCTATTTAGACAGCACTGCACATCGTAATCTTACCTAGATGGGAGAGATAATTTAAAAGGCCTAAGAGATGTTGCTGACGATCACGTACTGCTTTGTAGTAGCTTTAGTTGTGCACTTGCTTGTGTGTGCAGTAATAGTGCTGTTCACGAATGCTTTTGTTCACAAACAATTCCCCGTTCAACAAAATTTTGCTTCCATTCACAGACTCCACATTGGGTGACAAATACAGCTGAGGCTGTCTTCCCAACATAAACACAGACACAGCCTTCTTCCAAATTGTAAAACGGATCAAGTTCATGACCCGAGGTGCCACTGTACCTCCTAGGGTTTCATCATTCGAGGACGGGGCCAGGATTTATTCCCCAGCCTGGACAGTCTTACTGTGGTGTTTCTCAGTCTGATTCCCTGATGTCCTCCAGGCGCTAAGAAAAGTGAGCTGGGGCCTTCAGGAGACAAGGAAGTGTCGTATTTACTTGAAAACTATTTATCTAAGCATTCGTCCATATTTTGTAATAATACCCTATTCTTTTCTCATTTATGTTTAAGTTTAAAATATTACTAAAAGTTACTAAATTACATTGCCACTCCAGGAAGATGTGCCACATACCTTTGATTTTTAAGTAACCCAGAATAAATCATGTGGGTTGAGAAAAATAAACCTTCAGAATACTTTTTGGACAAAAGAGAAATCAAGATTTTTGATCCCACCGGTGGGCACTTTAGACACTGGGCATTAGATGTTTTTTAAATAAAAAGGTCTTAGATCAGAGAGCACAGTCCTGGCACTTTACAACTTTACTTGCTGTAACTTGATTCAGGTTACTTCTTTGAAGCACAGTTTCTTATCTCAACAGCAGATTTAATGATAGTGGCTACTGCACTGGGTAGATGAGGGTTGCAGTCATTTATGTAAAATTACTTGGTGTGTCAGAAGACTACCCCCAGTGTTTAACTGTTCTCGTTAACTTGGCTGTTGACCTAGGTTTTAGCATTGCTTTTCATGTTGGGATTCCGAGATTTTGTTGTACTCTCTCAGATGAATGCAGTGACTTCAATCAGGCATTTTTGGATTTCCTTTAATGTCATGGAGTTAACCAGAAAGAGCATACATAGAAGAGTGTAATACATGGACTACATCCACCTGTGCATTAAAGATTTGACATTACAGTGTGGAAGATGGGGTGGGTGATACACACTCCTAATCGGTATGTCCTCTCTTCCTTAAAAGGAATTACGGTTCCTCTCTTTTTGCCCAATGCCATGCGATGGAGAAAGGATGTCAGCAGGTCTTGTGGCTCTACGGAGAGGATCACCAGATAACTGAAGTTGGAACAATGAATCTTTTCCTTTACTGGATAAATGAAGATGGAGGTAATCCACACAGATGTCAGCCCTGTACCGTTTTCAGTCATTTTTGGTGGGACTGGAAAGACCAAATCTGAAAATGAGGACAAGGGTATGGGGAGGACAAGGGTATGGGGAGGACAAGGGTATGGGAAGCACCGTTCCAGCAGCTAAGGGTGCTGTACTTCTGTTCTCAAGTAGACATCAGTGTAAGGAAGGTGCAAAGGTTTTGCTTTGTTCTCTCTTTGTTTTGTTTTGCGCTAGGTGTACTCATTGTTGAGATGTCAAGTTAAGTGATAGTGTCATTGTGATTTAAAGATCTGCTGCCCCAACCGCTTTGCCATTCCCTAGCGTTCTCCTGCCTGAACACTTTGCATTTGGAAAAAGGTCTCAGATCATTTCAGTGGTCATTCACCATACACTGCCTAAGAAACTGTAAGAGATGCAGCCTGCACATTCTACCAACTGGGGATTTACTGTACGGAGATGTGTGTATGTGTGTGTGTATATACAGGCATTTGACATCTATGTATACGTTAGAGAAAGAAAACTATACACATGTATGTTTGTTTCAGGGGCTAGGTTTTGAACCCAGGTCCTACTATATACTAAGCAAGTGCTCTACCACTGAGCTACCCCAACCCTCTTGCTACAGTTCTTTTAACAATTGTTGCCTTTTCTAAATATTTTGATAATCTATCAGGAGTCCTCCATTTGATTAAAGTGCAGCACTAAAGACAAACTATTGTACCTAGATCCCAGTCCATTCAACACTATTATTATATGCATACTGTAGAAATCAGTATTTCTTTCTTTAATATGCTGAACGTTTGCTGTCTTGCTTTCGATTCTTTTTTGTTTTAGTTGCCAGAGACCATAGGGGTTTAGGGAAGTCTTGGCAATGTATAGTATTAAGTTAAATGTTCAAAAGGAAGAAGAAAAATAGATACACTCTTTTGTCCAGTAGAATTCTGATAGTCATACAAAATTTAGAAACACGTTTTTAGGCTTGTTCATGCTCTTAGACAACTGATTGCACACCGGCTGCAGAGCCGCAAAATGTAAAACGTTTCCAAGCACTTGCGAGGTCTCAGTATTGGTTTTTAATTAATATTTTTTCAAGTGAAACTTTTATTTGATGGCAGCCCCTGTTGCTTTTCTGTAATTTGGCTGCAGCCGGAGGGAAGTAGTGATTCAGATGTGGCTGAATTCACACCTGTGACTATTTTGAGTATTAGCTGCAGAGTCTCAACAAGATGTGCCTTGTGTTCCACCGAGATAGGAGTTCTCTGTCTCCTGTGCCGTCCCTGGGTTTAATCCTGGCATGCGAGAAGCCAGATGCGGTTCATACTCATTCTCCACCTCTGCTGTTTGTTCTTGGCACTGTTTAAAAACAACGTTTATACTGCAATATTTATGATTCCTAAATTTGAGTTACTATATATACATTTATCAAGAGTTACACCAGGAAAAATTTGGCCGGTGTTGAACTCTGCACTTGGGAAATAATAGATTTTGTACTCCTTTTTTTCCCCACCCGCTTTCCACTGCGACCCTCCAGAACATCCCACGTGTAACCCAAACCACCAAGAGTTAGTATCATTCAGAAGTCGTACCATATTACTTAAGGATGGGAGATGCCAGGATTTTTAAGCACCACCTGAATCAGAGCTACGTGATTTAACCAGAAACTGTCCTGGTGAAAACTTGTTCTTTTGCCAAACAATAATCATGGAACATTTCTACTCTGGGTTTTAAAGGTCAGAATAAAAAGGAGTGAGTTTGTCTTCTCCCTCTTGTGAAATATATAAAATCCTTAAGAGTTATTCTTTAGTACTATTGCCTAGGACAGCTTTAGGTTCAGCATGCTCCTTCAGCTGGTTGCTTGCCTCACAGGTCAAATAAAATTTGCAGTGAGGAGAAAGGAAGTGGAATAAATGTTAGAACAGTACTGTGAAAGGGGAAAATAGAATGTCAGCATCAACCTTCAGGATAAAAAAGACACGGAAGTAACTCTATAGAGAGATTTTAATCTTTTATAGATGTGGCTTTCAGAACGTACAAAGAATTCCAGGTTGAAAATCTGCAAAATACTAATTTCACAAGCAGGAGGCTTCAACAGAATTTTTTGAGTAGTGGTCTTTTGGAAAAGGAGCTGGCATAAAGATAGATATAAGGTAGACCACGTGTGTTCAAGGCACAGTGCTGGGTGCAGTAGTTATTTGTGTCACTTGGCCCGTAACTCACAGGGATTTTGATTCCAGTAACCACTGTGGTGGTTAAGATTGCACATCCTCTTTTTACTTACTTACTTTATTTCTGTGCAGTACTAGAGATTGCACTTAGGGCCTTCGCACTGAGCTACGCCACCACTCCTTTCTTGCTCTGAGATACGGTCTCACTAAGTTCCCTAGGCTGAGACTGAACTTGTGATGCTTCTCCCTTCGCCTTCCAGAATGCTGGGATCACGGGCACATGCTACCACCCCTAGCTTCCATTTCCTTTTTCACGCTATTCATAACTAGTGTAAACACGTATACTTACTTTTTGCTGTTTGAACAAATAATTTTGTCACATCTGGGACACCGGAGATGGGAGCCCACTGTCTCCTGTGCCGTCCCTGGGTTTAATCCTTGGCATGTGAGAAGCCAGATGCGGTTCATGCTCATTCTGCACCTCTGCTGTTTGTTCTTGACACTGTTGAAAAACAAAGTTTATACTGCAGTATGCATGATTCCTAAATTGGAGTTACTACGTGTACATCTATCAGGAGTTACACCAGGAAAAATTTGGCCTGTGTTAAACTCCGCACTTAGGAGATGATAGATTGTGCTCTTTTCTCCCACCCGCCTTCCACTGCCACCCTCCAGAACATCCCCCGTGTAGCCCAGAACAGCAAGAGTTAACATCATTCAGAGGTGGTGCCATAATTACACTGAGCTGCTTAGAAAAGTAAGCCCGGCCTTTGTCTGTGTTCTGTTAGGCTGGGACACTGACCATGGCCACAAGTGTTGTTGCTGCTCAGTCACTCGGCCCTGTAAGCCTCTAGGACAGGTCACGTATTTATTCACATGGACTGTCCCGGAGCTCTTGCTCACGTGTCTGCACGGGCAGCTCTTTCACAGCTTCTAAGTCTTTGCCCTCAAATCTCACTGTCCCCGTGGATGTCACTGAGCTCATAATCAAAGCTACAAACTGTCCCCCATTAATCCTCAGCACTCCCCACTGTCTCCCTCTTTTTCCTCCGTGGTCTGACATGTATGTAACAGGTCATTGCTTGCCTCTGCCTATTAGAAAGCAGGGAGTTAAATCGGTCTGGTGTGTACAGCTTAGAATAGCAAATGGCACTTCATGCATATTTGCTGAATAAACGAGTGATTGTGCTGCTGGTGTTCAGGGCAGATGTGCAAACCCACATTCCTGCTTTCCATTCGTGCCTGGCTTGGGGCAGTCACAGATGGATCCTGCTGCTATGGCTGCTAAATTCCTCCTCTCCCCAAAATGATCTCTCTGTCAAAGACAAGCTGCGTTTGTAGGTTCTGTGTTTCTCCTGTTGGGCAATCTGGAGTTCGTTCTGGCTCTTGTGAGCATGTTTGTGGTTTCAGAGGAAAATGAATATTTCTCACCCAAATGTTGTCATGTCATCGTCTCTGTCTGGCAACCAGAGGAGCAGATGTTCTGTTCCCTGACCTCAGGCTAGTGGTTACAGTTCTGGGTGTTAAATATATTTCACAAAACAGCGTTTACACATGCAAAGCTGCTGTTTTCATTTAACTTTAGATAGTCTTGGAGCTCAGCAAGCTTTAGGAAAGGTTTATTTCTGGGGCCCTGCATGTGCGCATGTGTTTGTGTGTGTATGTGTAATAATTATACACACATACAGATCCATACATTTGTGCATCTAACCAGCTATCACAAAACACATTTATTTTGAGATCCTCCACACTTCTAAACATGACAAAAAGTAGCCCTAAGAACATTGCCAAGAACAAATTTCTTCTCTCCTGAGAGCAATTTTCAAACAAAATTGCAAAAAACCATACTGTTGGTGTCCTAGCAAAGATAGTTCATTCATTGTTTTTTTTGTTTGTTGGCTTTTTTTTTGTCTTTTTGAGACAGGGTCTCGCTATGCAGTTCAGGCTGGCCTTGAGCTCACTTTGTAGCCCAGGCTGGTCTTGAACTCGCAACGATCCTCCTGCCTCAGCCTCCCGAGTGCTGGGATTACAGGTGTGCGCCACCACGCCTGGCTTTTCTTATTTCTTTAATTCAGAAACACTTGTTATATACCAGTCTGGACCAGCTAGGGTGTCAAGTTTTGGGGATACAAAGATGCATATGAAGCTTTGGGCACCTAGGCAGAGCTCAGGTGCAATCACAGCAAAGCAGGTGCACCCAGAGCCAATGCATACTGAAGACAAGGGCAGCGGCCCCATGTCAGGCCACGGAGCACTGGTCCTGGGTTTTCCCTTGTCACCAACCCTGGCAAATCACTTACTTGTGTTTCTTCTTCCGTCAAACAAGGATTGATTCAGGCGAGTTCTGAAATTGTTTTTCACTGCGTAAAAGGGCCTGAGGGAGACCTAAGATACCAGGGAGATGTCTTCACAGTTTTTAACTACCTGGTGGTCCTTGTAAGCATACTTTGTGAATTCCTATGCAAATGCATGCTCCGTTGTGCTCCATTGCAAGGTCCAGCATTGTGTAAGGTGATGATAAGGTTTGAAGATTTACTGTGACTCTGGGTGTCGGAAGGGGAGGAAAGGGAGATGCTGAGAGACAACCCGCAATCAGGAGGCCCGTGCAGGCGATGGGCCACACTCGATGCCTACAGATGGATGTCATACCCAACCCTGATGGTGGGTCAGGGTGCTGTCATCTGAGTAAGGCAGTAGCATAGACTTGGAGTTTGCGGAGTTTTTCTTCTCTAGCTATCTACACGCTCAAGTTCAACCCAAGCCCATTATATTTAAACCTCTGAGGGTGAATGATGAAAGGATGATCAGGATAAATTAAAGATTATTAGCTGAGTAGCTTTCTTTCTGGTTTGTAAAGTAAGCCTTTTACCTGGAACATGAATTGATATGCGGGACTTGACCATGCGGAGCAGTAACATGAACTTCAGGTTCGTGACTAGCAAAGTGGTGAGAAACGGTTTTTAAAAATGGTTGTTGATATTAGGCATGCCTAACATAGTTACATTTTGAAAATCTTCCCATTCTGATTGACAGAAGAAGAACTGGCAACTCCTCCGCTAGATGGCATCATTCTTCCAGGAGTGACGAGGCAGAGCATTCTGGACCTGGCACGCGAGTGGGTGGGTACCTTTGGCATGGACGACTCTCATAAGCTCACAACAAAAAGGAATCAGAGGAAGCCTAGAGTCTTGATGAAATAATACCCTGTGATTGCAACCGGGTGTTATCTAACCTTTAAATTTTACCTCGAGTTAAAAGAACGCTCTCGAGCAGTGATGGCGAACCTTTGAGAGACCGAATGCCCACATTGCAACCCAAAACCCACCTATTTATCCCAAAGTGCCAACACTGCAATTAAACCTGAATACTGAGGTTTTAGTTTAGAAAGAAGAACTGTTATTTGATGCTGTGGGGAAGCTTGGCTCACATGCCCAGAGAGGGCTCTGTGTGCTGCTGCGGCTCGCATGCTGTCGGTTCCCCACCGTAGCTCTGGAGGACTGTCTGAGTGACTGTCAGACAAGTGCTGTTTATAGGAAGGACAGAGAGAGAGCCACTTAGTAAGATGTCCTAGTGGAGCATCCTGGCATTCACCTTGGTCTCTATACCGGGCATCTCTTGCCAACTTAACCTAGTTTATGCTTTGTGTCCGTCTATCCAGCCAGCCCTCAACTTTTAAAGCATCAATATATTCCATAGTGCAGTGAAAACCCAGTTCCTTGTTTCCCTCTACTTTCCTTATCCCAGCGTCCCCGTGCTAGTCATTGGGGTTGTGGAATTTTACTGACGCAGACCTCTGTGTTTAGCCCTGTAACATCGTTGGATTGGCTGCTTTCTTCCTCCGTCCTCTGCCCCCATCGCCCACAGTTCATACACACGGCTATTTCTTAAGGTCAGAACAGGGAGGCAGTTACAAAAGTGGTTCCCAGTAGACTTTGCAAGTCCACACGATGCAGGCAGGACTATTAAACTGTTTGTTATTTGAAGTGACATAACGTATTCAAGATGAGTATTAAATGACTGGGTTGTCTGGCAGTGGTTCTCGGATGGAACTTCTGACCCATGTGTACAAAGTGGTCTCCAAAGACCATGGAAAGGCTTTCGGCATCCTGTGGTCAGACCATGTGAACAGGACACATGTTTAGAGATGCACACATTATCTAGGAGAGTACTAGCATTTTCTCTGGAGAAAGACTTTGAAAATAGAGGAAATGTGCTATAAATAATTCCACAAAACCCCGAAGTAGACAAGACCCAACTGCCACGTGCTGCCTGGCACGTTGGGCATGACATTTACAAACTGTTGGTATAATTTCAAACAGCTTGCCCTGTCCTAAATATGTTTGCAGTTGGAAAGATACATTTTTGAAGCTCAGTAATTTCTGTTTTATTAAAGAAAAAAAAAATCAACCACGTACAGAAGGTTTGATGACAAGTTGCAAGTGGGAGTACTTTCCCGCACTAATCATTTGCTAGCATGAAAAATAGGTTATTATAGAGGAAGTTTTTCTTGACTCCTTCGCTGTAATTTATTTTAAAAGCTATTTTAAAACAGTGAGACAGAAAATGCCAAGAGGCATGTGGGGGGTTACCACTACTTGCCAGACAGGGGAAATTGTCCAAAGATAAGTAAGGGTGAACAGAATAAAAACAGTTCTGCTTATGTACAAGAGAGGTTTTTTTCCTTTTGCAAAACACAGAACTCCGCTTGTTTTCAATAAAGTTGGCCGGTCTTCTGGAACTTACTTATTTACCTGTGAACACATAGTTGCAATTACAGAATGAAAGAAATTGAAACTTGGACAGAGCCATGTGTGTCATCGCAGACGTATTTCCCTGTCCTTCCGAATCTGCTTACAGCATGGTACATTGTCCTTCTAATATTTTCAATCTAACCAGGGGTTTTGATTTCCATTTTTTGTATTGAGGGTTTGTAGGCCCGTGTTATTTTTCTTTCAACACATCCATTTTCTGTTGTCCTTAACTCAAATAGCTTATTGACAAACACTGAATTTTAATCACTAAAGATAAAGGAATGAGACTTAAAGATTGAAGAATAAGTGTTCAACAGATAGATTTAAAACATTGGAATTTTTTTTCATTTTCTCCCCTTGAGCAAATAAAATATTCAAACAATTCAGCAGAAATTGAGGAGACTACACCAGTTAGTCCCTGGTGAAATTCAACCTAACCTGATTCTAAAAGAGAAGGAAGAGTATTAATCATTATAAGGTCACCTTGTCAGTTAATTTAGAAAGAAAAATATGTATCCGTAATGCAGTTTTTAAAGTCCAAATATACATTTAATTTTTTAAAATAATTTTGAAAATGTTAT